AGATAAAAGTGAATGGATTGCTTTTTGCATATTTAATAATTTTTAGTTGTAAGATTCTATTACTATAAATTGAACAAGTTATTATTAGGCAAGCATAAAATCCTTCTTAATTTGCTAATTAAAAAAAAAAACAAAAAAAGTTGTCAGTTTTAATTTTTTTTCAAGCGCTAAATTTGAAAAATTGTAGGAGCGGTTTTTAAGAAAATAAGCATTACTACCAAAGTGATAGCTGCCATTATTTTTGTAGCAATTTTTTTACATACAAACAGTTAATGCATTAATTTAGTTACACATTAATTTGCATATCAAACTTAATCCATATTGAAATGAAATTTGCATTTACAGTCTTTTAAGCAGTTATCCGCTATTTTTGTAAATAAACATATGTTATTTGGTTATTGTTAAGATGGACAATACAAGAAATGAATGTATTCCATAATGTGCAAATACATATTTTGGTATAATTTGCTCAAGGACATGCAAATATCTTAAAAAGTAACTTTCCTGAGCTACTATCATTATCGGCTGTACTTGCAAAGGTTAGCAACACAGGTTGTTGAACGGAAGGAAGTTCTCGCAAACGCTCCACTTATTCATCTTTAATTTGCATATCTTGGCACTTGCAAACTTCTTCTCTTACCTGTGTGATTCGTTGCGTGTCCTTTACACTTCCGCTCCAATCGTTACTTATTACACCCTTTACTATTTCTACTCCTTGTACTAGTATTTCCACTTCTTCTACTATGAATATCTGTCACTAATGTCACTACAATTATCATTTTCTATGCTAATTTCCCGTACTCTCAAGGTCAAGTTGAAAATTGACACTTCTTTTATAAATTTCACAAATTTTGATGAATGGTATTGCATGGTTTACAGAAGGGACAAGTAAGAACACTTATTCTTAAAATGAACCACAGAAGTGGTTTTTTAAATTAAGCTTTCTATGAATGTCAGTAATACCATTCATGGTATAATTTTAAGTTCATTCATCTTATTATCAATCAGTTAGTAAGGTGTACACCTTCACTAAATAATAGTAAATCAAAGTTCCAAGTATCGGAAGCATATATTTTTTAAATCTGAAAATTAGAATATATGATTACTACATAAGCTAATAAACAAATTAAGTGTATATCAATTCTAATTCTCAAATTCAGAGAAGTTACGCTTTAAGAGCACTAATTTATTTGGTTGTATATTTCGGACTTATTATATCAAAAACCAAATCCAAGAAATTTATCATCGAAATCAAATTTGAATAAAAGTACTAATGCTCGCACTTGCAATTATTACATATCATATGAGGCCAACAAAAATTTGACATTTGTGATAGATTTAATAAGACCATGTGATATACTTAATGAATATGCAAATTTTAAAGTTTCAACAACTGATCAAAGTATTACCTAATGAACAAAGTCGTGTCAATTTGTGTAATCTAAGCAAGCAGTTTTTATAAACGAAAATATACTTTTAGTGCAGTACTTAAACTAGTATGACCTTTGCTACCCTGCAGTAAAACTAAGTTGTGACATGTGTTAACGTGATGCATCAAATTGAAAATTAAGTATCAAAAATATTTGTCTTCTTTAACGTTTACGTTTGCAAGAGATAAAAAATTACTTGGTAACGCTACTCTTTACAAATAGCGTTTTGAACATAATTCTAATGAGATTCTTGATTTCTAAATTCATGCTTCAAATGAGCTCTTAATTTTTTGAATTTTAAATCTTTCCTTAAAATTACACGACAATTATGCCAAAATTTTCCATTAAAATTGATTACGAGCACTTAACAATCTGAGCTACCGTAATTTGGTTTATTCGTATGCCTCTAATTCTCTAACTTTTCTTCTCTGCTCGTAGACAAATTTTTCTTCATCAATTTTTCTCTTCCATTTCGTTTCACATTTTCATTGGGTGAAATTCACTGAGGCATTTTCCAAAAGTTATAGTTAAATATTAATATTACTAAATTACTAACTTATCTCTGCAGTACCTTTTTGGCATATGAGCGTATTGTACTAAAAACTGTAGCGTTGATATGCTTTTAATTCAACGTGCTCTCTAGCCAAACATATTATCCTGTATTTTAGTACATCTGTCAATATGTCTTTGTTTTTAAATTCCCTTTTACTTGTTTGATTATAGATTCCTTCTTAAATTTAAATCATAATTTAAGATTTAGATGGTTTATTTTTATATCCTAAATGGATTTTGAAGATAAAAGAAGAAGCTATTGGTAATGGAAAAGGTAATGGCCCATTTGTTTCTCAAAAGACAATTGAAGTCATTATCATACGGTATATTGTGCCCAATTAAGAGCTTGCGCTACTATTTTAAGTACTTTTTGAATGCTATAATCTAATGCACTACAATATTTCTTTTTCAGTTTTGAGTTAGTATTTGTCAAGAAAGAATTTATACGTCTACTTTAACGCATATTTGTTACTTTGAAACAAAGCGAGCTGTGCGCAATAAAAATTGACTCATTTTGATTTTTAATTTGTGCTAGTAAACTGTAAACTACAATTTTTAGTCCTTGTATTGTAACCATATTTTAGTCTTGTAATATACTTTTTGTCTTAATAGGCTATTTTCCCTCAGTAATTTTAAGGATAAATAAATGATTTCATTTTAATAACTTTTACAAATCAATAGTCAAATTAAATGAAACACTTAATTATTGTTGTTATTTAAATAATGCATGTGATAACATATCATTCTGTTTGCTCATTCAAAGTAAAATAAAATCTTACTGTTTTGTGTCTTATTTTATGGATACAAGTTGATGAACTGCTCCTTTGTTTTTGATTTGACTTGAAAATACGCAAATGAAAAATCACTTTTGAGATGTTTAAATATTCAAATTACTTTTTTGTGAATGAAATTCATAACATGTGAGGTAATTTTGAGCTTTATTTAAATTTCTAAAATGTTGATTTATAAGAATTAGTTATTTAGATTTATTACAATCTTTAAATTTGAGTTTGAAGTTGCAAATAATCTAACCTAATACGCAAAAGATTGCAATAATAATTACTGATAAACCAAATATTTAATATGCATTTTTCAGGTAAACTTTCAAATTTTTATCTACTTTTAAGCAAAATTGTACTAACAGCCGATATTAATTATATGCAGAACAGTAATGAATCCACCTTTCTGGTTGCCAACACCATTACCTTTCACAACTATTTATTATCCGCCATTTCCATCATTATTTATTGGCAAGTTATTTTTATCAAAATTTTGATGGATGAACAAAATCTTTGCAGAAAAAAGAAAAGAGTGTATTTCACTGATTTTCATCGTATTGCATTAGATGCAAATAAATAAATGCAGAAAATGCACTCATATTAGAAGATTTATTTGTAAAGACTCAAATCTGAATTGAACTTTGTGTTAGTAATTTTTTGCTGAAATTTGCAAAAATTCAAATTGAATCAAAACTTTTCAGTAATATATTTCAGATGCAATGTTGTTGTTCAAATTATTGCTTTTTAAGCACAAATAACTTTTAGGCAATTATTAATTTGAATTTTCACTCTAAATGTCACTGTTTGCTTTTTCAAATTACTATTATTGAAAAGTAATATTCAGTACTTTTTTCAGCTCACAGCTTTCCAACAGTATTTCCAACGGTTACGAAGGCCATACTACCGCCATCGCCTCCCTTATCACAACAAATGAAAACTTCGGAAATATCAACAAAAAAACGGCCATCTAAATTGTTTCTCGTAGAAAGTTTGCTGCCATCTGTTGCTGAGAAAAAGCAAACTACTCCATCACCGGTAAATCGCACTGGGAATTCTCGATTATCGTACTACAAGGAATAATTCAAAACACATCTCATCTTTTTTCCAAAATTAACACTGTAGCACTTTGAAATTAAAATTTATAATCATGCACTTATATTTCAACTATAATAAAATTAATTACGCAGTTTTTAAGCTATATATGCAGCTAAAGCTAGAGGTACTTTTAAACTTTTTATTTTTTGCATTTATTAATGACAAAAATGTTTTTTAATGATTTATTAATGGGAATTATAAGTTGTACCGTATACCTGCATGGTTTTGCATGTTTCA